CACGCCGGGATGGGTACAATCAGCCTCAATCTGCAACCAACATAGGTGTCATAATTCCAAGTCAATTCGACAGCCAGCGGTTACTTCATGTGAAAAAAAAGAAATGTCTTTCATTAGCGTGTATTCTAAAGTAAAACTAAAGTGAAGGGGATATCACTGTTTACGATTTTTTATAGACAACCATTAAAAGAGGATATAAAATTATATTGGCCAATCGGCCATAGCATCTAAAACCTAACTGTCAGCAGAAACAAAATAGTGTCCAACATCATAGCATGCATCTCCACCCAGACTGCTGCCAACAGGTCTAAGACGAAACTCAGGGGTGAAGATTAAACGACGGCAGCCACATGTGTGAGTTGGGTAAACATATCTTTTGTCATTTTTAGAATTGATAACAATTCTGTTTTGGTATTGATAAGATTTCTATTTTCGTATATTGATATGATTTCATGTATTTCTTTGGCTGCTCTGTCTATAAACGTTGGAGCAGCTGTCCATCTCTCAGAAACAGAGTTAGTTTGGCCTTCGCTATTGCATCTCTTGGCTTTAGTGAAGCTACGACAGACAGCGGATCTAACTGCAATTCTTGTCTTAACCGAGTCCGGGCCGGGGCATAGTTTTGACATTCCAGTAACAAGTGAGCAATGGATTGAGGTTGATTGCATGATGCCCATACCTTGTCATGGTGCTTTTTGTGACCGAGTTTGAGTTGCCTACCTTAACTTCCTTTTAATTGAGTATGAGTAAGGCTTTTGGCGGATCTTGTGTAGCCGTCTGCCGTCCATGACTGACCATTTTAGTCAGGTTTTGTGAATAAGTGAGTATGGTTTCACGCCGCTTTAGCAATATTCCAGCAATATCACGGCGGGGGACTGCAGAAATGGGCTTCACACATTGTACCCATGTCGGGAATGGAACCCGGGTCTTCGGCGTGACGAGCAGGTTTGGTAGATAGAGGTATTATATAACGTGGGGCAAGGTCGGTGGCCCACGTACCTGGACAAACGTGAGATCTGGCGACGTGACGTTTATAGACAGCGCTTGGGATGAAGGGTCCTGCCCGGAGGGGGCTTAAGATTAGAAGGGATACGCCGAATGTTGGCTGGGTACAATGCCGGTGCACTTTGGAAACATATTGAAACAATTAGGTATTTCAGATAAATGAGTTTAAATAAAATATATGCTCGTAATGCTCAACGGAAGCGTTTTTGGTTTTAGGACAAACTATAATTACCCTTCCACCAGGGAGTAATGTTGGATGCCTATATGACATACCTCCAGCTACTGTGGAACACACTGTACATCTGTGAATGATATCCGATGTGGAAGATGGTATGCGTTATATAGGATATCAAGCAAACGATAAAAAATCAAAACTGAAAGATGCGTTCATTGATATCTAGCCGTAGTATCAAGCCATTCTGGAACTGCGGTAAGCTTCAGTTAAAAACAGGTTATGTACGTCAAGGAGTAGGTGAATGCTAATTTATGAAGCAGTCTTTAATATTTCAGCTATATGACAGCGACCTATAATAATAGAGCCTGTTCAAGACAAGAAAAAAGAATAACCGACAAGCACTAGCTTTGCGCCATGGGGACGATTACATTCAGTGAGATCATTACATTGTAACCTACCGACCCTCACTCGCCTCCAACAGCCTAAGCCTTAAACAGTAAGATTGTTGGATTTGTTGTTTGAAGCCAAAGTGAGTTAAGATCGTGCTATATGACGCCGAGCTGTAACTCATCGTGTCTGGACCGAGCAGTCCACTGAATGATGCCATGAGCAGGGTCCCGTGCCGCGACAGGCGGGGAACGTCGACATGACATCAAGCAATCTAGCATCTCCCGATCCATTCAGTCGCCTTTACGACAACCGTCGATCACAGGGGACCTATTATAATCCCACCTAGTAGCGTCTGTACTTAATTAGTTGTTCTCTGCATCATTCATTACCCAGTGTTAGCCGGTAAGTTGACACACGGAAGAAAGATGCGTTCCTTCCAGCTTCTGAATGATATCAAAATCAATAACTTGACGATTACCAAAATGATTCGAGTCTTTGTGCATTCACTCCATCTGACCCTGTATTTGTATTGTACATGTGAAACAGTCTATCACTGACAGATATATGTGAAACAGTCTATCACTGACAGATATGTGTGAAACAGTCTATCACTGACAGATACATGTGAAACAGTCTATCACTGACAGATACATGTGAAACAGTCTATCACTGACAGATTCGTGTGAAACAGTCTATCACTGACAGATATGTGTGAAACAGTCTATCACTGACAGATTCGTGTGAAACAGTCTATCACTGACAGATATGTGTGAAACAGTCTATCGCTGACAGATATATGTGAAACAGTCTATCACTGACAGATTCGTGTGAAACAGTCTATCACTGACAGATATATGTGAAACAGTCTATCACTGACAGATTCGTGTGAAACAGTCTATCACTGACAGATATGTGTGAAACAGTCTATCACTGACAGATTCGTGTGAAACAGTCTATCGTTGACAGATATATGTGAAACGGTCTATCACTTACAGATATATGTAAAACAGTCTATCACTGACAGATACGTGTGATAAAGTCTATCACTGACAGATTCGTGTGAAACAGTCTATCACTGACAGATATGTGTGTAACAGTCTATCACTGACAGATATATGTAAAACAGTCTATCACTGACAGATATATGTGAAACAGTCTATCACTGACAGATATATGTAAAACAGTCTATCACTGAAAGATATATGTGAAACAGTCTATCACTGACAGATATATGTGAAACAGTCTATCACTGACACATACGTGTGAAACAGTCTATCACTGACAGATAAAACAAGATAGTAGCTTATATTTGAACTGACCGTCAGGGTTAAATTATCGCCTGTTCTCATACTCTAGTCTATACGGTAGACATGACAGAGTAGGAGGAGGAATGTATTGCCCTACTTGTGATCAGTATCCCAGCGCCGGTGTCTCCAGCTGCAGTGCTGGCCCCGTGCTCAAATAGACGGCTTCACTGGAACCCCCGCTGGACATACTAAGACAACATATATACACACACAAGTGATTTAACTTCCCCCCCTTTAGGAAGTCAACAATTTCAACACGGAACTTTACATCTGGTCATTGTAGTCGTGATTGTACACATAGAGAACTTGAGTGAAACATGTACATACATGTGTGTGTACAGTCGGTGTTGTACATCAGGTGACGTGATGTTGCAGTCGGTGTTGTACATCAGCTGACGTCATGTAGCAGTCGGTGTTGTACATCAGCTGACGTGATGTTGCAGTCGGTGTTGTACATCAGCTGACGTCATGTTGCAGTCGGTGTTGTACATCAGCTGACGTGATGTTGCAGTCGGTGTTGTACATCAGCTAACGTCATGTTGCAGTCTGTGTTGTACATCAGCTGACGTCATGTTGCAGTCGGTTTTGTACATCAGCTGAAGTGATGTTGCAGTCGGTGTTGTACATCAGCTGACGTGATGTTGCAGTCGGTGTTGTACATCAGCTGACGTGATGTTGCAGTCGGCGTTGTACACCAGCTGACGTGATGTTGCAGTTGATGGTATACATCAACACTCAATCGATTGAAATGATCCCTTCTAGGTTATTTGTCTCTGTCAAATCAAATTAAAAGATTAAAAGGCTCTATCGCACGTACATCGTTGAGAAGCAGCACTGTCCAGCTGGTAGCTGCTATATAATTGAGAACAACGATTCAGATGGCTGTTGCCAATGCAACTAAGGTTGCCATGTCAGAAAGATGTCTGCTTTCACTTTACTCCCATGCTTTTAACATCGTGACAACTTCCGCATCAGTTGCAGGGTATATTGCTATGACGACGGTCAAACACAAAGGGCGACTGTATGGAACACAAGTAAGCTAGTGGTGATCGAGGCGAATATTGGTGAAACATTGGTAACTTTTCTTTTGTCCGGATATAGATAAATAGACTTTATTACTCACCCGTGAATAGGTCACATGTGATAACACCACGTGCGGTCGGGGCTGTTTGGGGCATATGCTTGTTATTCGAATGGGGGCGTCGGTAGCACTGTGCATTTGTGTACAACGTCTTTACATGCATCTCAAAATTGTATTATATATATACTTCAATATGTCATGCCAATGCGTTTTTGCAATTGCCCGTGATCTATCGCAGAACTCGCGAAAGCATATTAATGTAAATGGAGCGAGTATACGGCAACTCACGTTTGTATTGTAAAAGAGCAGGCATCTGATATTATAGAGGTAAGGAGCATCACTTATACACAAAACATCGTATCGATAGATCCCCCCTACATGTTCATCACCGCGTCTACTTACGACCTTGAACATCGTGTTGTAAATGAGAGTGTGCCTCTTGGACCAAGTGGACAGTCGATAGAAATGTCAACCGATGCTTTGTCGTGAATCCTTCGTTTACCGATTTTGTACTGATGGTGTAACTTATGAGCAATTATAACCAATTTCACAGCAGATAAACTACTAACTCGTATGAAAACCAAGAGCCCACATCACATGACTCGATGAGTCGATCGTCGCGCGGGCTCCCCTCACCTACCCTGCACCGAGTGGGAAGTTAGGTTGAAAACAGATGTTTCTAACTTGGTGATGTTTGTGTATGTAATTGTATCTTGCAGTTTCCTTAATTTAGCCTATGATCGACTAATCAACTCCGAATAATACTTCATAGATGTAGGCAGTTGGAATGTATGAAGTAAGGTGCTGATGGTCGTCTTGTATAGATGTAGACAGTGGGGCTATATGAGGTAGGGTGCTGATAGTCGTCTTGTCCGGATATAGGGGCTGGCGGTTGACTTGTGCAGATGCTGGCAATGGGTGTATATGAAGTAGGGTGCAGATGAATGCCTTGGCAGTGGTATTACGGGCGTGGTAATGATTGTTGTACTTGTCCCATGATGATGGTGGATGTGAAGGTACAGTATTGTTCTGCTCTATTCAGGTTATCAGGCGCTGTGCAACATGCCCTTGTATCGGTCCTCTGTGCTCAACAACGGATGGCTGAAGAAGGAGTTCGACCCCACACCCATTATGTCCACCTACATCCTCGCATTCGTCGTCGCAGATTTCAAGTCGAGAAATTACAGTTTTAACAATGGCTACCAGGTAGTGTAGATTGTCCCAGACAATGGCTGCTTAAACAAAAGTCGATGCACATCTTTGAACCAAAAGATTGGAAATAGACATCTTAACTCCTATGATGTTATTTGTAACTGTCCCGTTTTCTATCTTACCATGTGTTTGTAACTGTCACATCTACCCTCCTACCATGTGTTTATAACTATCACATCTACCCTCCTACCATGTGTTTATAACTGTCACATCTACCATCCTACCATGTGTTTATAACTGTCACATCTACCATCCTACCATGTGTTTGAAACTGTCACATCTACACTCCTACCATGTGTTTATAACTGTCACATTTACCCTCCCAACACATGTTTATAACTGTCACTACGTGTTAGTAACGGTGACATCTAACCTCCCATTACGTGTTAGTAACGGTGACATCTACCCTCCCACTACGGGTTAGTAACGGTGACATCTACCCTCCCACTACGGGTTAGTAACGGTAACATCTACACTCCCACTACGTGTTTGTAACAGTGACATCTACTCTCCCACTATGTGTTAGTAACGGTGACATCTACTCTCCCACTACGTGTTAGTGACGGTGACATCTACTCTCCCACTATGTGTTAGTAACGGTGACATCTACTCCCCCACTATGTGTTAGTAACGGTGACATCTACTCTCCAACTACGTGTTAGTGACGTTGACATCTGCTCTCCCACTACGTGTTTGTGACGGTGACATCTACACTCCCATTACGTGTTAGTGACGGTGACATCTACTCTCCCACTATGCATTTGTAACGGTGATATCTACACACCTACTACGTGTTAGTGACGGTGACATCTACCCTCCCACTACGGGTTAGTAACGGTAACATCTACACTCCCACTACGTGTTTGTAACAGTGACATCTACTCTCCCACTATGTGTTAGTGACGGTGACATCTACTCTCCCACTCCGTGTTAGTGACGGTGACATATACTCTCCCACTATGTGTTAGTAACGGTGACATCTACTCCCCCACTATGTGTTAGTAACGGTGACATCTACTCTCCCACTACGTGTTAGTGACGGTGACATCTACTCTCCAACTATCTGTTAGTGACGGTGACATCTACTCTCCCACTACGTGTTAGTGACGGTGACATCTACACTCCCACTATGCATTTGTAACGGTGATATCTACACACCTACTCCGTGTTAGTGACGGTGACATCTACTCTTCCACTACGTGTTAGTGACGGTGACATCTACTCTCCCACTATGCATTTGTAACGGTGATATCTACACACCTACTACGTCTTAGTGACGGTGACATCTACCCTCCCACTACGTGTTTGTAACGGTGACATCTACACTCCCACTACGTGTTTGTAACGGTAACATCTACACTCCCACTACGTGTTTGTAACGGTAACATCTACACTCCCACTACGTGTTAGTAGCGATGACATCTACACTCCCACTACGTGTTTGTAACGGTAACATCTACACTCCCACTACGTGTTTGTAACGGTGACATCTACACTCCTACTAGGTGTTTGTAACGGTGACATCTACACTCCTACTAGGTGTTTGTAACGGTGACATCTACACTCCCACTACGTGTTAGTAACTGTGACATCTTCCCTCCCACTACGTGTTAGTACCGGTGACATCTACACACCCACTACGTGTTTGTAACATTGATATCGACACTCCCACTACGTGTTTGTAACAGTGACATCTTCCCTCCCACTACTTCTTAGTAACGGTGACATCTACACTCCCACTACGTGTTTGTAACGGTGACATCTACACACCCACTACGTGTTTGTAACATTGATATCGACATTCCCACTATGTGTTAGTAACGGTGACATCTACACTCCCACTACGTGTTTGTAACGGTGACATCTACACTGCCACTACGTGTTAGTAACGGTAACATCTACTCTCCCACTACGTGTTTGTAACGGTGACATCTACACTCCCACTACGTGTTTGTAACGGTAACATCTACACTCCCACTACGTGTTTGTAACATTGATATCGACGCTCCCACTACGTGTTTCTAACGGGGACATCTACTCTCCCACTATGTGTTTATAACGGTGACATCTACTCTCCAACTACGTGTCAGTGACGGTGACATCTACTCTCCCACTACGTGTTAGTGACGGTGACATCTACACTCCCACTACGTGTTAGTGACGGTGACATCTACTCTCCCACTATGCATTTGTAACGGTGATATCTACACACCTACTACGTGTTAGTGACGGTGACATCTACCCTCCCACTACGTGTTTGTAACGGTAACATCTACACTACCACTATGTATTTGTAACGGTGATATCTACACACCCACTACGTGTTAGTAACGGTGACATCTACACTCCCACTACGTGTTTGTAACGGTGACATCTACACTCCTACTAGGTGTTTGTAACGGTGACATCTACACTCCCACTATGCATTTGTAACGGTGAAATCTACACTCCCACTACGTGCTAGTAACGATGACATCTACACTCCCACTACGTGTTTGTAACGTTGATATCGACACTCCAACTACGTGTTAGTAACGGTGATATCGATACTCCCACCACGCGTTAGTAGCGATGACATCTACACTCCCACGACGTGTTAGTAACGGTGACATCTACACTCCCACTACGTGTTAGTAACGGTGACATCTACATTCCCACTACGTGTTTGTAACGGTGACATCTACACTCACACTTTGTGTTTGTAACGGTAACATCTACACTCCCACGACGTGTTAGTAACGGTGACATCTACACTCCCACTACGTGTTAGTAACGGTAACATCTACACTTGTACTACGTGTTTGTAACGGTAACATCTACACTCCCACTATGTGTTAGTAACGGTGACATCTACACTCACACTACGTGTTAGTAACGGTAACATCTACACTCCCAATACGTGTTAGTAACGGTGACATCTACACTCCCACTATGTGTTAGTAACGGTGACATCTACACTCCCACTATGTGTTTGTAACGGTAACATCTACACTCCCACTACGTGTTAGTAACGGTGACATCTACACTCCCACTACGTGTTAGTAACGGTGACATCTACACTCCCACTACGTGTTAGTAACGGTTACATCTACACTCCCACTACGTGTTAGTAACTGTGATATCTTCCCTCCAACTACGTGTTAGTAACTGTGACATCTTCCCTCCCACTACGTGTTAGTACCGGTGACATCTACACACCCACTACGTGTTTGTAAAATTGATATCGACTCTCCCACTACGTGTTTGTAACGGTGACATCTACACTCCCACTACGTGTTTGTAACGGTGACATCTACACTCCCACTATGTGTTAGTAACGGTAACATCTACACTCCCACTATGTGTTTTTAACGGTGACATCTACTCTCCAACTACGTGTTAGTGACGGTGACATCTACACTCCCACTACGTGTTTGTAACGGTAACATCTACACTCCCACTATGCATTTGTAACGGTGATATCTACACACCTACTACGTGTTAGTGACGGTGACATCTACACTCCCACTACGTGTTAGTAACGGTGACATCTTCCCTCCGACTACGTGTTTGTAACAGTGACATCTACTCTCACACTACGTGTTTGTAACGGTGATATCTTCCCTCCAACTACGTGTTAGTAACGGTGACATCTACACTCCCACTACGTGTTAGTAACGGTGACATTTACACTCCCACTACGTGTTTGTAACAGTGACATCTTCCCTCCCACTACGTGTTAGTAACGGTGACATCTACACTCCCACTACGTGTTAGTAACGGTGACATCTACACTCCCACTACGTGTTTGTAACGGTGACATCTACTCTCCCACTACGTGTTTGTAACGGTGACATCTACACTCCCACTACGTGTCAGTGACGGTGACATCTACTCTCCCACTACGTGTTAGTGACGGTGACATCTACACTCCCACTACGTGTTAGTGACGGTGACATCTACTCTCCCACTATGCATTTGTAACGGTGATATCTACACACCTACTACGTGTTAGTGACGGTGACATCTACCCTCCCACTACGTGTTTGTAACGGTAACATCTACACTACCACTATGTATTTGTAACGGTGATATCTACACACCCACTACGTGTTAGTAACGGTGACATCTACACTCCCACTACGTGTTTGTAACGGTGACATCTACACTCCTACTAGGTGTTTGTAACGGTGACATCTACACTCCCACTATGCATTTGTAACGGTGAAATCTACACTCCCACTACGTGCTAGTAACGATGACATCTACACTCCCACTACGTGTTTGTAACGTTGATATCGACACTCCAACTACGTGTTAGTAACGGTGATATCGATACTCCCACCACGCGTTAGTAGCGATGACATCTACACTCCCACTACGTGTTAGTAACGGTGACATCTACACTCCCACTACGTGTTAGTAACGGTGACATCTACATTCCCACTACGTGTTTGTAACGGTGACATCTACACTCACACTTTGTGTTTGTAACGGTAACATCTACACTCCCACGACGTGTTAGTAACGGTGACATCTACACTCCCACTACGTGTTAGTAACGGTAACATCTACACTTGTACTACGTGTTTGTAACGGTAACATCTACACTCCCACTATGTGTTAGTAACGGTGACATCTACACTCACACTACGTGTTAGTAACGGTAACATCTACACTCCCAATACGTGTTAGTAACGGTGACATCTACACTCCCACTATGTGTTAGTAACGGTGACATCTACACTCCCACTATGTGTTTGTAACGGTAACATCTACACTCCCACTACGTGTTAGTAACGGTGACATCTACACTCCCACTACGTGTTAGTAACGGTGACATCTACACTCCCACTACGTGTTAGTAACGGTTACATCTACACTCCCACTACGTGTTAGTAACTGTGATATCTTCCCTCCAACTACGTGTTAGTAACTGTGACATCTTCCCTCCCACTACGTGTTAGTACCGGTGACATCTACACACCCACTACGTGTTTGTAAAATTGATATCG